TGACACTTACAAATGTTCAAAATATTTCCATAAACTTATTTGACATTCTTTGGGGGTACATTGTTTCCCTTCTTGCATTCAAACAGCATTACATACCAAAATGAATTTAATCTTTTTGTATAAGTATTTGCTCATCTTGATAGACAACTGCCTGTCCAACAAATGGGTGGAAAGATTGCTGACTACACTCCTGGCTGAAACGGACTAAGTGAACTTACCCTGTCAAGCCACCAACACAAACTGAGGAGACTTTCTAAGAAAGTTGCTGAAATAGTCTGATCAGATTTGCATAATTTACACAAGCATTTTTAAAACAGAAGGCAAATTTGAAATTTACAAAAACGTATTTTTACTTCTTTCATGGAGAAAATTGATTTTCTAATACATTTAACATTGATGAAAAAAAAGGATGCTTTCTTTAACAATTTCAGTATCTTTTAAACTGGATACAAAACCAGGATAATTAAATATCTTTCATCAGAAAATAAAACCAGATAAAATTCATCAACTCCATAAAGACAGAAATACAACTAGCAGTACTGATTGTCAGTTTTCCAAAGTCCTATATGAACATGGGGAGTGAGGACTTTACAAATCTGGAGATTTAAGGGATTTGTTTACACAAAAGGGAACAGTTGCCATATCAAAATTCCTAGTCCTATTTAGAATATTTATTGATGCTTGAACAATTATTTTAAATAGAGCTATTGCCTACAAAAATGTAATTACTCAGGTATCTGAAAACTGTTCAACTGCAAATTCAGCATATGCCAAAGACCAAGCACTAAATAAATCACAAAAAAACTAACTCACTAGCAAGTTTCTTTACAAAACTAAACAGAGATTGATTATTGAAAGACTAAAAAAAATTACAAAATAAAATATATTATTACATAATACTCAAATAATATAAGAGCACATACCTCAGGATTCTGATCCTCAAATGAAGACATTTTGGCTAGAATTTTTACTTGGCAAAACCAGTACACCTTGATACCAAAATTACTAGAAAAAGTTGATTGAAAAAAATTAATGTAATATTTAAACAGTTATGTAATAGCACTGTGACATAAAAGATACCATCCCAAAAAATATTTTGTTTGAATGGGAGTGGAACAAATTTAATATGCTTGAGCTAATTACTTACAAATGACTGATCTTTTAATCAAACTACATTTTTTAAACAATTACTGTTTACATTCTTCATTGGTAAGACGAAGATATTGAAGGCTTGATTTGGATATTTAAAATTGTCAGAGGCTTGTATAGGTCATGTTTAGCAGATAGACAGATGGCCTCAGTAACAGTAACTAGCATTAATTAGGATAAACTTTCTAAACTTAGATTTGTTCTTAAGAAAATCTATTTAACTCAAATTATTAGCTTAAAATAATCAATACCATCATCTGGAGAAATATTTAAGTTAGTTAAGTGTGTGATGAAGTCTTGATATTTCAATTCATAGAGAACCAGTCTCGGAACACTACTATGGCCTGAAGATTCCAAGCTCAAACTCTTGTCAAAATAGAAAGTTTCTTATTTTATTTGTGGCCACTACATCTGGTGGTTTTTAAAAAGTAAATCACAACTACTGCACAAAACTTGGCATCCTTAAACAGTAAATCTGTACAGCTCATAAAGCACTTTGTATTCTCCATTTATTCAGCACTGTAGTGAAACAATTGTTCAACAAAAGCTGGTTATATTTAAAAAACATTGTTTAATCATCTCCACAAAGCAATAAGTAGCTGTGGACTAGAAGAGGAAGCATTCCTGTAGTCTGTAATTGAGACTAGGCCTGATAAGAAAAAGGTTAAAAGTAGTTTTTGAAATCTAAATTTAAGGACAACAAGAAAACTCTTGGTCACAGCAGGCCATCTCATCCACCAAGCTTAAAAATAAAACATTCAGAGCCAGTCCTTATGATTCAAATACTTGTCAAGCCTTCCGTTAAATTAATTGTATCCACCACATCTGAAGGCAACTCATTCCAAAAATCAACCACAAGTCACTATTTAAGTCTCATTTGGAGTACTGTGCAGTTTTTGTTGTCTTATCCAAGAAAATATACTGAATTATTGCACAGGGTTTGGTGAAAGGCTACTAGGATGATTCCAGGAATAGAAGGGTTATTTCTATGGTATTAAGTAAGAATCTTATTTTCTCTTGAGAAAATAAAGGTAATATGTCATCTTACTTAGCTTAAATATTATTGAAGAGGTTGATAAAAACCTCTGATATATTTGCACCATGTTCTAAAGACAAAAGAGCAAAGTCACGTTTAAGATTTGAATAAGATACTTGGCTTCAGTTAAGACAAATTATTTTTCTAAGAGGGTAATAAGCTTATGCAACAAGCTGCTGTCAGTTGTAGAAGGATCCAGCATTTTACAAGAACTTAAAAAAGAAATCGATAATTTTCTGAAAAATAAAAGGGGGGTTCAATTTTTAAGTTTCTCAAGGATGTGTGTGTGGAGACAACCTTGAAGGATCAGATAGTCTACTGTTCTTTATCTTACAGTCTTGTTTTCTGTATTCACTGCTACAGCACATATTTAAGATATACTGGCACATTAGTAAAGTTATAGAGTTTCAGTGCATTAACTAAGTAAAGCTCAAATATAGTTTCACATGTGTATATAAACATAAAATTATGTTGTCACAAAAATTTTTAAACTAGTAGTAGATCCAGCATTTTACAAGAACTTTAAGTTTAACTTTAAGCCAAGAACTTTTTTTTGTAGGCATTTTGTTTAATTAATTCATGAAATTGTTTAATTTTACTTATAATAGCTTCATGAAAAAAAAAATAATTCACTCATTCATCTATAAAAGAATTTATGTATGTGCAAAATTTGGACAAAACTATTGATAAATTAACGAAGAGTATGATATTAAATTATCTACAATGGAAGGCAAGGTTCAACAGCCTTGAACAACAGCATTTAAAATCTCCAACAAGGAGAAGAAATACATATGCATGCCATACTACTTCGGATTCAAATTTAATCCATTAAACCTAATTCAAAACTGAGTAACTATAAAACTTTTAGCAATGAACATTATACTCTTTACAGATTTTTTTCAATTTCCACAAACAATTGAATAATGTTTATTACTTTTTTTATAGGCATTTTGTTTAATTAATTCAAGAAATTGTTTAATTTTACTTATAATAGCTTCATGAAAAAAAAAATAATTCACTCATTCATCTATAAAGGAACTTATCTTTTAAGTTAGCAGCTTTCTGTTTCAGTATTCACTATTTTTCAATCTTTTCACTGTGTCAGTAAAACAACAACAAAAAAAAATTCTAATATCCACAGAACTTTTAATTTCCAGCCCTTCTCTGAATAGGACTTAGACTATTAAAAAGTTAGTCTAAACTAAAGACAAAGCCATATACTCAAGTTCTACTTCAATTTTCAAATCAAAATAGTTTTAGTTTATTATTATCATTACTTAGAATTAATGTAAGTAAACTCAAATTCCGTTACAATTTTTAGAAACAACTGAACTATTAAAGTAGCCCAAGTTTTTAAGTTTAATACTTAAGCCTACTCCCAAAGACTATAACTGTAGTTAGCTAAATATTGCAAATGAGTAATACTATGTATGTGCCAACAGTAGCCTAGAACTAGATCTTAGAAGTAGTACTAATACTATATTAATTACTTTTCTGAGCGATAACTTTGTGATACACAAATGTGAGTTTAAACATTTTTACCCAACAAAAAGTTGTCCTAAAGTATACACCATCTAATACATTTTCTGTCTAAGATACTTACACAGGATCAAGTATCAAGTAAAAATAAACTACAACTATTCATTGAATTTATACTCAACAGTTTACTTTTGCCTACCTGTCAAGACACATTAAACTGCGCAATAATTTGCGCAACTAACCCGGATGCTAGAAATATTTCATAGAGGAAAAAAAATCATATTTAAAATATCAATATATTTCCAGCAATGTAGAGAGAAGCTGCATAATCAATATTTATTATACAACTTTTGTTAATATCAAATATAGATATAATGATAATTAATAATATAATATGTAAGTAAGGGTAATAAAAACTACCAATCAGTGCTTTCTAAAAACCAAGTTTGCTGTACAGTGCACATACATACAGTATTTTTCG